ACCTCCTTGAAAGCAGCTAGGATATTTCCTTGTTTTTGATTGCCATCACGGACACCGTGCTTGGTTTCAAGGTGGTTTTTCATCGAGGTAGTACTACCTTTCTTATCACGAGACAACTGCTTGCCACATTTGTTTCCGTTGGCCATGACAAAACGACACTGATTGATTTCTTGATCTTGAAGCTTTTTAAAGTATTTCCAAATGTAGCTTGCTGGCCAAGTGGTAGTTGAGGTATCTTCCGTCAGATTGGAGTGTTTGGGTTGGGAGGTGCCATCAGTATTTGCCCCAGACGCACTGCTTGGGGCTTGAGACATCTTAAAATAGATATAAACCACGTGAATTGTGGAATCTTGTGGATTGAGCGGGATAAGAGTGTGATGGAATGATTCGAGCAGGTGGGGAAGGTAAAGACAGAGTTGACTTGCCAATGGATGATGGGCTTAAACACAAATTTAAAAAAAAACGAGAACAGGCCTTTTTTGGCTATAGCGGCCGGATAACCGGCGGATAGCCGGTTCGGTTGTCGGATGGAGGATTATTTAAAAAAAAACTAATCGGATGTTCTCCGATCGGTACAGATAGAATAAATATCCGCCGGTTCGGTATTCGGATGAGGCTAGAGACGCCGGATATCGACCGGTGCCCATCTTGACTTTGGGTACATACATTTGTAACCAGGGCTGACAAAATACCACAAGCAAAAAGAACTAAAGGCTTCAGATCTGTGGAAATCCTTGAAGTTTTCAAAAATTTGCCTGTCCTTTGAAGTTGGCAAAACCTTCAGGCTTTAAGACATCCAGTTTCTCAGGTGCTAGACCATGGGCACACATCCATACACATGGTTCTTCTGGAGGACAGCGCTGTAGACACCAAAGCAACCCAACCTCAAAACTGCTCTACTTCTCACCACTGCCTAACCCTCAATTAGACTTTGTGTCAAACTCCCAAATTGTCATCAACATATTTATCATCTTTTTCTGTGTTCAAAAATCTTGCTTCTCTGAGAAACATGATCCACCTGTCTTTTCTCAAGATTTCTGTGCTAGTCTCTGCCTTTTGTCTCAGCACATGCACCATATCCTTGCTCTATTGCTTTGGAGGATATATCCAGGACCCTGGAATGCGCCTACTGAGGCGTCTGACGTAAAACCCGACATTACGCTGGTCGCAATTTTTTTTTTGGCAAAACCCGACATTTTTGGTCAGATACCTCCAAGCAACGGGCCCGGAGAAAAGCCTTGATACCCGGGTAGAAGCCTCAAAACCCGGGTAAAAGCCCTGGTATCCGCAAAAAAGCTCCGGTCATTTGACAAAAACCACACTACTGTGGGTTCAAACCCCATAAATGTCACAAAAGGACCAATTTCCCGACATTTCTGGTCAGATACATATGCGCGGTAACCTCCCAAAACCCAAAACCCGACATTTTTGGACAGATACATCTGAGCTCAAACAGGCCAAAACCTGACATTTTTGGTCAGACGCCTTAGTAAGAGCATTCCAGGGTCCTATATATCCCCAACCATATTGGTGGTACTGGTTTGCCAGGTTTCTGATTTTCTTGTCAAGCTCAAGTGCAATTCACCACACATCTCAACTGAATCCGTCTGCTCTGGCTTATGAAGTTTGCTTGACTGCCCAAGATGAAAACAGTCAGACCAATTGTGACCCATTGAGCTGTTGGAACAGGGTATCCATTTTTGACTTAGCAAATTCTTTCTTTGGTGATCAAGTGGTACATGGAATCTCACCGGTGCATATTCTTTTGGTCACAGAAAAGCATGGCAACAAGTGGGCTCAGCTGCATCATTGTCTACCAAAAGTTGAAAATGGCCCTGGAGAAAGCATACAACAATGCAAGGATTATTATTGGGTTGCATCTGAAAAAGCATCCTGTGAGTGGCCACTTTCAAATCATGCTGTCTATCAAGGCTTACTCTGACGCCTATTTGACATGTGGATCACATTTCTCAGCTTGTGCCAACCACCCCCGGGCTAAATTCTTCTGCACTCTGAAGCCAGAAGATCACATCACTTTTATAAGTCAGTCCAATCTAAAACAATCCAAGAAGGCCACATCATTGATGAGAGAATTTTTGCCTTCCAGTGTTTTCAAAGTGCTCCTGATACCATACTTGGTGGAATGTGTTCTTAATTGTGCGTCTTGCACCTAGCAAATTTGAAATCACCTGTTGAGTTGCAACTTTGAATTACCAAAGGAACCCATTTGACACTTTATATTTTCCAGTGCTACGGGCACACAGTTTGAACTATTTCTTTTTGTCAACCTTTGTATCTTGTTGAACTCTCAAGAGAGTATCATGTCACTTACTCAATTTCATGATAAATGGAAGGAATTGGGGTCAAATTGATAAAGAACATGTACATGAAAAAAGATGATTCTGGAATTATGGTCCAGAGACCAAGGGACTTGCACCTAAAGTCAAGCTCATTGGTGATGGGCACACAAGGCTCTTGGTGGTAGAACTTGTTACAATAGACTTTTTGTTTGTTTGTTTGATCATTCAAAATTAATCCATGTTGCACTTGAGTGTCTTGAGGCTTGGATGCTTTACTGCCATTTTCATGTTTTTTATCTACAGCTCAGTTGATGTCTACCCCAGAGCTCAGAATTCTTGCCTTTGAGATCTCAAAGTGCACTATGGTAGTTCTGTGTTGTGGATTTGGACTTCCAATTTGGTTCTCAGGATTTGGAAATCATTGAAAGCTCATTTTGCCAATTTGACTCACATAAACATGTGCATTTGAATGCAAGTTTAATTGTGTAAAAGGTGAAAAGCCTCAAACCTTGTCAGATACCTGAACCCTGATGCCCAATCAACAATACCAAGGTGATTCTCGAAAATCTGGTCATACTAGTACTACATAGCAATTGGTAACCTACACAGCTAACATACCCACATGTTACTAAAAAAGTTAGTGTTAGAATATAAAGCTTGAATATTCAATAAAAACTCAATCTGGTTCAATTGTTGGGGCAATTCAATGTCAGGTGGTCATACCACAAGAATGATTAGGTGTGCAAGTTTTAACTTATTGAATGACATCAATTCTAAGGTAGCATCAAATATGTATCATTTCTATGGATGAGTGACTCTCAATAAGATGCTGAAATTTGTCATGGCTTGATGTCAAGAAGAGTTGTAGTCAAACTATCAAAAATGGCTCTTTAAAACAAAATGTCAACACCCTGAGCTTTTTGTGCCCATAACCGGTGGCCTTGATTTTATGTGTAGGTAAGACTCCAATAACTGCCTGTAGAGCATGGGGAATGTGAGTATCTGACTTGGTCCAGTACATGATAGACAGGCTTTTAAGCTCCCTTGGCCCATATATAGCCCTCTTGCCAACCAGAGAACTTTTGCAGAGCAAAACCTCCTATGTAGTGACAAGAGATCCCACATTTAATCCCATGCAAAAATATAACCAAAACTCTCTCACTCTAGTCTCAAGGGTGTAAACCAAACAAAAATATGTATGTCATAAGTCAGCCTGAGCCCCAAACTGATGCCCCAAGGGTTCCCCAAGCCCCAAACCCTTGGAGTGTGGGTTTGGTCAGGATTTTTGGGGCCCCTTAGGACTCACGGGCGGGGGGGGCATAGTCCTCAAACCCCCAATCTTATCCGTGGCGACCCCCTGCTTCCCCCTAGTTTTAGGCATTCAGGATAGGGGTTGGGGGGCTTCTGAGAGCCAGGTCTTGGTTGGTACAGAGTAGGGTTTGGGCGCGGGGGGCTTATTGGGTATTGGTTTGGGGGGCAGGTAGGCCATCCCCCGTGTTTTCAGGGTTGGGGCTCAGGCTGAGTCATAAGTTCATGTTTTTCTTAGCAAAGGATGCAAAGAAGAGCACCCTTGACTAACAACTTGCTTGGTACAAATAAAAAGCCTTGCCATTACAAAACAATGATTATTGGTTTCAAGAAATGATGCCACTTTCTCACAAATCACTATCTGCTTTTTGGTGTGCCAAGATTTGAAGTTTTCATATATACTGAACCATTCAGCAAAAACATCCATGTCTGACTTGCCATCATAACTTCAAAGAGTAAATCAACATTTTGGGGTGCTGATGATGTCTGTCTCTTTGTTCTTGACATTTTGTGTAGTTTCATTTTGAGTTTTGGTTTGACTTTCAATTTGAGTTTCACAATAAGAAAAAGTTGATTTGAACAAATAGATTTTGATTGTTGGCCTTTTCATTTTGAGGCCATCCTTGTTACTTCTTAGGGGGTTGAGGAATGGTCATGAGGTGTGTAGGCTGGTTTGTTTATTGTGATATGATGAGAGAAGATGTGACTGGATTGATTTGGGCAAGGCATACCCAATCCTCTGTGGAAAGGATTGGAACTGGAAAAGATATTGAGGATAACAGTGTTGGAGCCATGTTTGCTTTGATAGCAATCAAAGGTTTCCAAACCACGTTGGATGCAGTGGGTGTGGGTGTTATTTGAGAGGAGTTTTGGATGTGTTAATGTTGTGAGGTATTTGGATCCATAGATTGATTTTTTCTCTCATGGGTGATCAGATCTAGCCCATCTCCACCCAAATGAAAAAACTCATCCAAAAATTATCAAAAATCAAACAGGTTGGGAAGGGTTTTTGATTTTGATTTTGATTTAATGCTTGTGTACCCTTAATTAATGCGGAAGAAAAGAACAAATTAGTCAGTCATGCCTCTCAAACATACCAAGACACAGAAGTGCCATATGACTATGCCACTTTGACCACCTCACATGCAGTCTGATAAAAAATAAAAGGAAACTGTCAGTCTCAGGCTTTTGAATGGTGTAACTCAATGATCTCATCTCCCATTCAGTTGCAAATGGGAGACCCACCTTGAGGGATTCCAGTGTAGAATCCAACCTACATAGTAAGCCTACTCAGACACATAAGAACTCCAGAGATGAGCAAATTACCAAAAAAATGATAAAACTTTTGAACTTGAGATTCCCTATGAGTATATAGAACCCCATTCAAGTTTACCTTCTTCAAAAAAGACCCTTCCATAAAATCAAAATCAAGTCATCAAATGATTTAAATTAAAACAAAGTTCTGAATGAAATGAAATGAAAAAGAAATAAATAATTTTACAATCAAAAAAAAATCAAAGCAAAAAAAAACAACTCAATCATTTCGAAAAAAAAGATGTCATACTTAATTCACTCAAATTGAAAAACAAACAGAGTCACTTCATGCTCACATACACGCACACAAACATGCACATATACATGACCTCACACTCAATCTCCTACATCAGCACACTTCTTTCCACACGCACAACAGAGCTTCAGTACAGTATTTAGGTTTCATAAACAAAGATAGCCAACTGGCTCTTTTCAGCAGGGAGATGTACCAGCTGTAGGTCTAGAGGTGTCAGAGTCACGACTGGCAGTAGGACTACGACTAGGGAAAGAAGATTGAGCAGAAGAAGCAGTGTCAGGTGAGAGTGGTAGTTCAGTTGGATTACCATCTACTGGTTTGCTTTGATAACTGAAGATGAATTCTTCAATTGCTCGAGCTCCTTCTTGTGCATCGCTTGGTAATCTGATATTCCAAACATGGGTTAACGTCTTATTCGAGGTTTCAAGTCAAGCAGTGATGACAGTAAAGCTATCTTACTTGAACTTTGGTTGCCATTCATCTCCCTCCAGTTCAAAGAAAACTGGTTCCCAAGTTTCTCCACTCTCTTCACGTTCTTTCGCACGATCACGTTGAAAGTCTTCGATACGTGTTTTGGCCTCCGTTGCTGCATCTAGGTCTTTCTTTTTGATTGCTCGTGTCACATGTGACCAAAGTTTTCGAGATTCATTCCAATTCTGTTCGGATTCGGGTGCGACGGTTTTCTGGGTCACTTTAGCCGAAGAGGCATCGAACAGGACTTCTGTCTTACCCTACGTTGGAGAAAAACAAAATGATAGGATCGCATTCTCAGACAAAGTCGACCACCAGACATCATTCTTCACAAACATAATATATAAACCTACCTTTGTTCGCTTCAGTTCCATAACCTCATTCCACTTTCCCGAGATCTCTCCCACCACTCCAGTTTTGTCTCTAACTCTACCTCCAATCGCATTATAATCACCACTGAAGAAACCTTTTGTTTTGAATTCCACATCACAAAACACCTGATTCTTCTCATTCTGAACTTTAGATTCATCCCCTAATTCCAACATCATCTTTCCAAACACAATCCCACGTGCATACCTAAGATAAAGCAAGCCGAAAAAAACCCGGTTGGTTAACCAACGTGCTTTGTACCCGCATCTTTGGAACAGATATATCCAGACTGAAATGAAAAGTCAAGATAAGAAACACAAACATATTGGGCATCGTGATTCGATAAATTCCATCCTCACTACGATCGCCAAACCTAAGTTTACTAGTCCCTTCCATGATAGTAGCAGCGCTGTTACCCAAGAATTTACTCTTTGGTCTCAATTCTCCCCAAATCTCTAAATGATGACCCGGTGATGCATAATAAAAAGCTGATACAGGTGGATGATGAGAAACTTGTTCTGCTATGTAAAAACCTTGAGTTCCATCAGGATATTCATAACGACACCTAAAAAATTCACCCAAGATCGGATTATAACTAGGGCAGAATTAAGTGATCAAATGCAATTTGAGGTCAGGTACATAGATGACGCGATGTGGAATTTCACAGGAGAGCTTGAGACCTACGGTTTTTTGACACCTTTAGGTTTGATATGCCAACCAGCGAGGTAGTAGCGTAAGACTTCAATGAATCGCTCCGTTGCATCTTCGTTACGGCTAGCCCTGCATTTGTGAAACAAAATCAATCGAAGGATCGTCAAAAAAACGTCAGAAATCACGGACAAAGGTGAAGACATTTACCCAAAGATCAGATCTGGGTGACTAAGGAAGTCGGTGATGCGTTCCAACATGCTACGAGGCTCGAGGACGAAGCTAAAAAGGTGAAATGGTGTGGTTCAGCGATCTCAATAAAATCTAAACCTCATCAGATGGTCAAAACAACCAACGTAGGTAGGGTGACTTTATGCAAATCCATTCCGATTCGTAATTGAGAGATTAAGGCCGAGAGAATATTCCTTGGCTCTTCATCTAGGACTTCAGTGTCATCAACCTGGTAAATTGGGTTCAAAATCACAAAGCATAGAATCGTGAGGATACTTGAAATATGAATAAATCATGTTTTGACAATGTGATGATTATACGTACTTGTTCGGTTACTGTGGGTTTGATTTGGATTGATATTCATAGGAAGAAGTGAGAGACAAAGAAAGAGAGGATAAAAGGTGTTCAGTGAGATGAAGAACTGATTTGAGATTGAATGAATCAACGTACTATCGTCAGAGAATGATGCTTTTATGGGTGATGGTTTGGGCGGAAAGAATCCCATGATGACTGATTGAATGAGGTTGAGGTTGAAGTTGAGGTTGAGGTTGATGGTGATTTAGATTGATGATGGTTTTGAAAGTTTAAAGTGGATTTGGTCAAGAAGGTAATGAAGCCAAGCTGAAGCCAAACGTTGATCAATTCATGTGACATCTTAACTCAGACACGAACTGTAACATACATAAGTGGTGATATTCAACTAAATTTAGACCCCGAAGCTGCTCCCGAAACTAGATCGGATCGAATGGCCCGCGATCGGATGAGAATCTCAGTCACATTCTGGATGGCACTCAACAAGCAGCACGCTTCAGGAATCAAAAGGCCAGATTAAGATTCAACCATTCGTCATGATAAAAGGATAGATGACCCATAACCATTGACAAACCCACCCTTTGGAGGTGATCCGCAATGTTAATTTCACCAAGCTATTTACAGCGACCGGATCCTACGTGTACGATGTGCCTCACAAAGTAAGATATAAAGTTGGTAATTAAAATTTGCTTAAAATGATCGAGATAGCTAATTGTAAATTGATACTTGCGCCTCGTAGTTCGATTTCAATCCTTCTTCAAGGATGTTGAGATTCATCATTCAAGTCCAGCCGATTCTGAGCCTTGAGGTGGTCAGGGGCGTAGCACGTACCATGCGATCCGAGTGCCCGCCCACCGCGACCCGGCTACTATACTTGAAGCGCCAACAAAATTCCTTCTGTCTGATGCTCATCAAAAAGTTTGCAACTTCACGAGGATCTCATCAAAGAGAGACGATGATTAACTCCTCGGATAGCCCGTATAGGCCATCGAACTCACAACAAGACGGTTGGCTCCCAGTCGAAATCGTGTCCCAAATCGTGGAAATCTTCTTCGATCAACTATCTGCAGGCAAAGTGTCGTGCCAGGATTGGGTCGAAAGCATTGCCTATGACCTATTGCTTTCCTCATCGAGCACTGCTGAACTCCTCAGCTTGCGATTGGTCTGCAAAACTTGGGACATGGCTGTTACTCCCATCTGCTTCCGTGCGGTTTGGTTCCACGACTCAAAAGGAGTGCAGTCCATCATAGACCTAATGACAATCCCGGAACCGCTGGATATTTCCTCTTTCGTAAGACGGCTTGCATTTCAAGATGTATGGTTTTGGCAAGAAAAAAGTACGCCCAAGTAAAGTACACAAGCAAACCAACTAGCTTCTTTCAGGCAATCTGATGCCAATTTTTCAAACAGACTGTGAACATGTAGATCCGATTCTACGCTCTGCACTGTCAACTAATCAGGTGATAAAAATGATCAACTTGATTGGTCGGAACGTAACAGAGTTACATTTGAAAGTCTCTGATTTGATCATGATTACACCAGCGCTTGTGGAGGCTGTGAGAAATATCAAGGATCTCAAAACACTTAGTATTCAGGGACGACGACACTATGAACCACACGGAGGTTATGATCCCCAAGCGCTTTCTGATCTTCTTGCCGCGCCTTGCAACCTCGAATGCTTGATATTTCAAGGCTATAATTTGAAACATTCAAAGTTGGCACCCACAGCCCTGTCGAAACTAAAACATATCCGCTTCATCGATTGCTTTGACAGTACAAACATTGAATCAATTATCGACATTATCGATCGGACAAAAGACAGTGTGATTTCTATGGAGATGTTAGCTGATGAGACTGATCATGACTCATATGAATTCCCTAATAATATTGAGCCCGTATTTAATGGTATCCTGAACACACTCGAAGTGATTTCCTGTGGTACAATCATGTCAGACTTATCGGAAAGGACCGTTGAGACTGAGTTTCCACGACTTCGAGTGATATGTAATATATACGCATCTTCTTACCATGAAGACTCATTTGTGGCGCTTTGGGATATCTTTTATAACGTTCGAACCATCGTTCAACTTTCAGACGATGGCCAGAATTTTTGGAGGTCGAGTTTGAATCGTATCTCGGACGATCCTTGGAAGCCACCTAAACTTCGACTCCTTGTCTTTACTAGCTTCCACGGAGAAGACGAGGAATTAGATTCAGAACTAGTTGATACCTTAAAATCACATGGGGTGTACTGTTGTTACATTCCCCGAATAAGACCTGATGAGATGTTGGTCAGTTAATCTTTATAGCACAAGACAGCTCAAAGTATCAATGCTGACTTCCTTGTCTCTCCTATAACTAGGAATTGGACTTGAGCTTCAATGGCCCAGTGGAATGAGTTGATGTATACTTCTCTAGAGTATGTTAGGTTTGGTGATAACCTTCTTGAATTCCATATAGAACAATGAGCTACCATAGTTTGTCGAATTATTTTAGTTATTGTGATGTAAGCAGTTTATCATCACAAGTAATGACGCGGACTTTTCAGTCCTATTGCCATCATTCAGCTAAGAATTTCAGCTGTAGCAAAACGCTGGTCCAAATAGGTTGATTTAAGGATATTCAAATGGTAGGCAAAGTCAAAGTCTTGTTACATTGCTCATTGAACTATCTAAACGAGTCGAAAGTGAGGGAACTAGTACACCTGAATACTACAGCCATCGATGATCTAGTCGGAACACGGAGTTTGCAGTGTCTGTTGATATTTACATATTGTTTGACCATGAATTAAAGAAGAGGTATGGAGCCTCAAATTCAAACCAGGTGGCCTCAATCAAGATTTCCCAAATTCGATCATATTTCTTTTCTGTTCGTGGAATGTTTTATGAACTGGGTTTTCGGCAGTAGCCCAATTTAACTCACACCAAACAACATCTGAAGCTACCTTGATCATCTTTTGCCTTAAGATTCACAGATGTGAACTTTGAGAGAACGTTTTTTTGAACTTCCAATTAAAGTCTTGATCTTCAGTCAGAATTGATGATGCTCAAGTAAGGATATAACAAACAACAATCACACATTCAAAATCTCATAGTTTGTATTACTTCAAAGAAAAATTTTGTATCAATGTCATCTCAGAAAACATGTGATAGAAAGATTCATTTTTCCAGAGGTCAGGAAGACTTGTGATGTCATTATTTGGATGATGGCTCTAAGACAAGATTAAATCAGCACATTGGAATAACTTCCCATCACTAGCATGAAATTCAACTTGTATGGTAGCAGAAGATCCTTTCTTAGGAAGGGGTTTGATATGCTTCAATGAACCAATGTCAACATCGAAACAGAATTTCTTTTGACCTTTAATTTGTTCTTGAAAGATCAAAGGAAAGAAACCCCAAAAAGGTTAATAACTATAACCTCATTTTTGATTCATTGTTTATGAAAAGCTTACTAGAATGTAACAAATAATTCGTTTTTCCATTGTTACTAAAATCGGAATCGCTGACTGGCTTAGACTTTGTACTAAGGAGTATATTCACCTCAGCTTTCTCATGATGCGATGTTATGCAAACGGAAAATTTGCCTGATAGGGGAATCTTTGTTCGATGATTCGAAGGATTTGGACTAAATTCAAGAGATTAGAAAAGCGAACAATTAAGATCAAGAAAGATAAGAGTACTCACGCTCCACCACAGAATTTTGTTTCCATCTCTTCCTTGAAAAGTCTAGTAGGCGGAGAGTCCAAAGTGAAATGAGCAGATGCAAGACTAGCTAAGACCAGAGCTAGTAAGATTGAAGGCAAAGTTTTAGAGAACATGATGTGATGATTGTGGTTAGAAAAACTACGTGAAACTGTGATATTGGACAAATCTAACTGAAAGAGGTTTTATGAGATTCAAGTTGAAAATTAAGCGACAAGATCTATCTTTACGGCCGCCCTTTCAAGCAAATTTCAATATTGCATTTTAGTACACCCTCTAGGCTCATGAGGCCATTACCAGACACGGGCGCAATGACGACGGAGCACCTGTTACGCCACCGGTATCCGATATCCAGCAACTTTTTGGGTATCGGCGACTCGATATAAAGTCCCAAAAAGCCCAATGGATGTCGACTTTGTCGTTCGACACTTACACCAAGTGGCAAGCATAATAGTTCCGAGTGACTTTTTGATTGCGGTAACTGGTATGGGATCGGATGGCTAGCACTCCCAGCTGGATTCCGGGGCATCGAGATCTCGATACGATACTGATATAGTGACTGTTGCAATCTTGATGACGTCTTAAATCAATCCGATTCCTCGGATACTGTATGTTTTATGAAATGAATTAAGGATCCCACTATTTATCGAACCAGGACCCTGGAATGCGCCTGAGAATATATAGAGAGACATTTATATATGTACCAAAACCACAGAGTGAAGCCGGAAGAGATTGTTGAAAACTTTTTGAAGACTGAATGGAAATTAAGGGAATTTGTTTTATCCTTTTCCAACTAATCCACCTTAAGGTGAAAGTGCTGAGAGATTATATTTTTACTTAGTCTGAAAGGAATAGATGGTGAAGGTAAACCCGCTTGCTAATCTCTCAAGACCGTATTCAACTCATTGTGTGTTAATGTATGCACCAAGTTCCAACTGAAACAACATGCATATAATCTGGTCAATGATCAAGATATTGATGGTCGGGGGATACTTCACAGCAATGGCTTATCATTTATGCTTTGGCTGGCAATTCAAATCACAATGACATCTTACTCAGCTCCCCAATTCAAAACCAATTCATAAATAAAAATCACTCTTGAAACAAACAACACTGTGTTATCATGTAATTTAACAAAACCCTTGTGTGATTGCCAAATCTCATAAAAACAAGAAAAAGAAAGAAGCTTCTTTAGTAATTTTTAATTGTTTGACTTGAACCACAAGGTCCAACATGCCCCAAGTCACACTGGTTGTGCATGCCATACTTAGGTTCTGTAATTGCAAGTACTTACAACTGTCCAGTCATCATCTTTGATTCCAAAGAGGACAATGGCTACACTTTCTTTCTGTATTCCATACCACAGAACAACAATGCTCCCAATATGCTTGCCTTTGTGGATGTCAATCATTTTGTCATGCTTAGATCTGGTGGTACAGCAGTTCCCTTTCCTGTGATATAACATGCCAGTTACTTTCAGAAGCAATTCTCACCAGCCAAATACTATAGTTAATTTCACATCACCAACATCAATTGGGGATGTGGATCTAGTGTAACACTCTTGTGTGTATTTTGATATTCTTTTCTCCTGATCTTTTTTCTGTCTCTCCTGTTGTTTCTCCAATCTTCTTTGTCTGTACTAGGGCTATGACCCGGCCCTGGCCCGGCCCTGGCCCGGACCGGCCGGGTCTGCCCGAGGGTTCTGGCGAGGAGGTCGTGGCCAAGCCCAGGGCCTAAGCCCTAACCAGATGATAGAGACAAAGGCCCTGTGCCGGGGCAATTCGGGGCCGGGGCCGCCGTATATTTCCGCGCTGAACGGAGGGCAAAGGTGAACTCTAAACACCTTTTGCCCTTTTGCCGCACCCTGTTACCCGTAACCCAGCCCGTCATCGTCCCAACCCCTTCTATCCACCCAGATGTCACGTCGAAGCCTTTGTCGTGAGGTCACCGATCCCAAAACTACCATGTCTACGACTTCCAGCGCTACTTCCAACTCCCTCGCACCATCTGACTCGATATCTGCGGTGGCTAGTGCCGTGGCTAGCGAGGTCGAATCCGATAATACTGCCACCAACCGAACCTCTTGGGTGTGGCAGTATTTTTCGACCGTTACTTTAAAGGATGGCCACACGGTGAATGTCTGCCGTGCCAACAAAGGCCGTATTGACAAGCCTATAGACTCGGAGGCACCTATTGTTGTGTGTCAAGAACAAACCGCGGTCAACAAGACTTCCAGTACGAAATCGATGATTCGCCACCTCCTTCGTGCTCACGGCATTTTAGCTCCAATTGACACCTCACAACAAACCCTTACAGCCTTTTCTGCGACTGGAAAGATATCTAGTGTAAGTTTTCTCATTATAAATCAAGCTTAAGTCATTCACACTAATGTTTTATTTGTTTATCTTCAAGATGGGGTCTCTCAACAGGAGAAACCTCACGAATGCTGTTATCCGAGTCATAGTCAATCAAGAACTTCCAGTTTTGCTTATCGACTCCGCATCATTCCGCGAACTCTTAACCTGGATTAATCCAGCGGTTGCCCCAATCTTGTCCAAACAAACCGCCATCACTGATGGGATCTTTGCTCAGTTTCGTCTTGCTCGTAATAAACTCACTTCGATTTTTGATTCGTTGGAATTCATCAGCATCACTTGCGATGCCTGGACTTCACCTAGTAGCGTACCGATGCTTGGAATTACAGCCCACTGGATGACCGAGAACTTCTCGATGCAATCCGTTGTTTTAGCCTTGAAGGAAATAGATGGTGCTCATACTGGGAAAAATATGGCTGTCCTCATCAAGCATGTATTAGATCAATTTAGTATCACTGAAAAACTATACTGCATAACCGCTGATAACGCTTCAAACAATCTTACGATGGGTTGAGAGCTCAAGATACTTGTACCTCAATTTGATCCTGAGAAGAACTTACATGGCTGTGTGGCACACGTGATTAACCTTGTTGCCAAAGCAGGAGTCTCAATTTTCGATTGCAAAACTCCTCCTGACCCTCTTAGTGCATTAGATCCTCAACTCCCTCAAGGAGATGATTTACCTGATGGCACCCTTTCTTTAATCGAACCTACCCCTCATCTAGAAGTTCACTCGATCAACACTCACTTCGCACCGCAACAAAATTTCGGTTGCGGTGCGATTTCGGTGCGATTTTCCGCAATCGAAACGACTTCTGAGTCATTTCGGTTGTCCCGAAACGCAATCTTTTTCAAAAAATCATGTTTCGGTTTGTCCGCAACGAAACCAAGTTGTACGTTTCGAAATAGCAACGAAACGAACCGAAAATTGCGGTCGGTTGCGGTTTGTCTTCCCTAGAGGAAGAGTGACAGAAGGAACCCTTCCAATCAGGTTAGGTTAGGTCTGATGGTCGACATTTGCAGGGGATGATGATGTGCATCCACCCCTTGCATGGTTTTTTTGTTTCAAAGTCATAGTGATACTGTCCACTTGACTTTTTTGGTCGCGTCCATCCCTGTTGGAAAATATCAACTTTCGTTTTCTTTGTACTTTGCGCGTAGCACACACCTCTTTTGTCTTTAAATCAAGCCACTATGAGTCGTAGTTCAACTCATTCTAATGATCTCAGCTCTCAATCCAAGGAAAATGATGATTATGACGGAACTGACACTGCATCCTCTTCAGACACTGAGAAAGAAGGATCCAATCGTAAAGAACCCGTAGAGCCTTTGTCTGGACAAGAGAACCAAGCATCCTCGTTGACTAAACCGCCTAAACGCCCCAGAAGGTCTTCGGGAGGACACGCGGACTCGGCTACGGCTCAAAAAAAGCAGGTTGAAAAGAATGCACCTCCAAAAAAGAAGAAGCGCTTGGCACCACTCCAGAATGTCAGTTTTCTTGTCTATTCCAGTTTTTTAGAGATGTTAATTCTCAGCTGTTGTTTCAGGTGATCTTTGTTCCACATGGCATGAACACAGATCAACAGTCTGACTCAGAGGCTCCCAAAAGCTCTGATCCGAGGCAGAGGACATCAAAAGTGAAGGATCTGTTCACTTACTTTCATGATAACCCACGGGCATCGATAGAGAAATACACGGTAAAAGATCCTGTATGTAACTTAACTTCACACCAGGTTAACAATTGATAAATGCTGATGGTGATGAACTTTTGTAGGAAACCAAAGAGGTGAAGGAATTGGAACGAGAGGTTCTTACCTATACATGTAAATTCTGCAATGAGGACTACAAGGATGGTGAATCTAATCACTACAACCTCCAAACTCATCGAGACGGTAAGAGTGGTCGCAAGCCCTGCCCAAAACGACATCTAGCAATTAAAGCCGGAATTGTTTGTCCGCCCACTTGGCAAGAGAAAAACGAACCAAAAAAGAAATCATCGGGAAAACAACTTTCGATCTCAGCATTCACCAAGTTTACAGTTGAGACGCTCAATAAAATCATGGTCATATGGATATTACTTCATGCACTACCTTGGATTCGGATTGATGATGTTGAGCTTGCGGCTGCTTTTGGGTGGGCCAATACGCAAGCCCAGTTACGATCCCCATCATGGGTCTACAATTCTTCAAAAACCCTGGCCCAAGGTTTACATGATGAAGCGATTGCAACCCTTAAGAATAACTCAAGTCGGTTTTGCCTGATCCATGATGGATGGACCACCAAAGGTAGCAGATACGCTTTTCTGGGCGTCTCAGCTTCGTACATTGACAAGAACTGGGAGTTCAAGACAATTCACTTGACTCTTAAGCGTATTATATGGGACCATTATGGGGTTTTACTTGCTCGACCTGTGGCAAGCTTTCTCATCCGCCATGGACTCCACACCAAGATAAGTTCTTTTTCACAAATCATTTCATTACATAACATTATCATGAGTTTTGGGCTGATCGATTCAATCTCTTATCTACATGTTAGCCCAAACCACAGACTCGGCCCCAAGTAACAACTTCCTCGCTCGAGAGATGCAGCGGATGTTCATGGAGGATGAAAACAACCCTCACTTTTGGGACTCACAATCAAACCATATCCGTTGCTTTTGCCACAAACTTGCACTTGTGGTCAAACACGGATTGGACAGTCTAAAGCTCAAGGCAGGTCATACAAAACCAACAACGCAACCTGATGTTCGTATGCCGATCCCAATCATCAACATCACCCAACCCGATACTCAAGAAGCAATAGATGAGGAAGCTGGTTACGTAAGCGCGGATTCAGATATTGGAGGTGATCGAAAAGGATTGACCCGACTAGAAGTGCCTGAGAGTGAAGATGATCTGCCTGATGAGAACCTTGTGATCGAACCAACATGGGGATTAATTACCAGTGGAGTTAAGAAGGTAAGTTTTTCTAGTATCATTTAACTTTTAAAAGACTGAGATCATGGTTTTTTTCGCTGCTTATCTCTTTTCCCTTGGTGTCTACTAACTAGCTTGAGCAGGTAAGTCAAGCGGTTGCCTCCTGCTCGGCAAAACGTGGAGAATACGAATCGGTAGCAGAGAGTTTGGTGTACAAAGGCAAGATGCTAATCTACGGATATGGTGTCAGATGGAATTCAAAGCTAGATAGCTGGCAGCGAGCATGCGATGCACAAAACGTTAGTTGTGTAGATCCTGAATGTGCTAATGCGATAATCCTGCTAATGATATGGCTTCGATCATCTTAGGTTATCAATAAGTTTCTCACTCAAGATCGCAAGAAGGATCGAAAGTACCAGTACTTTAATGGGCTGTCCATCTCGGGAGAGGAATGGACTGGTGTTGAAGCCTTGCTTGATATCTTAAAGGTCAGTCGTGTTTCAAGAAGTCTCATCAATTCAATACACTTACTTTATGAAATTCCTAATAGATCTTCAAAGATACAACACTCTCAATGGAGGGTAATGACTCAAACGCCTATCGAATCCTTGCTGAGTATGTCAACATCGTTGGAAAGCTCCGTTCAGCAAAGGCCGAACACGTCAAAACGTACCCTGAACTTGAAGGAGCGATTGACAGAATGATCTCCGACATAGAAGCGTATCAAACCGAAGCGCTTGAGTGCGATGCCATAATCATCTCCACCGTTATGCATCCGCGTTATCGACTCCAGTTCTTCAAGAAGTATCATCCCGATCAAGTTGAGCGTGCTCGCACTCTTGTTGAAGAAGCCTATAAAGCCGAGGCTGCCAGCGTGTCAACAAACACACAAAGCTCTGGCAAAGGCTCTTTGGCGACTACTGTGCCTGTTGCTACATCCACAGACGATCTGGATGATTTCAGTGAAGATTCGGGCGATGAAACTCCGCACAGCAGCCATGTTGATCTTAAGCTTTACCTCGATAGCAAAACTGTTGCTAACAAAGGAGTTTCACCGCTCGCTTGGTGGAAGGTATGTACAATTCTCATCTACTTCCTTTCCTCTGCTCGAGTCAATCATCTGATCAATATTATGATACTTCCCTCAGGAAAACCATGCGAATTATCCCATCATGAGTAGAGTCGCGCGCGACTACTTGGCCTGTACCGCAACATCGTGCGCTTGCGAGCGCACCTTCTCTGCCGCAGGACGAATCGCAACCTCAAATCGAAGCCTGGCCCCACGGACCATTGAGCGCGCTGTTGGATGTCACCAATGGCTCAGTCAAGGGGTAAAGGTCCCCGTAGAATATCAAGAGGCTTTGGCTGAGATCAGAAAGATGAAAGAGAAAAAAAATTCAAAGAGGACTCAGAAGTCAAAGTCATAAAGTTTCTATATAATACTTTTGTATTTCCCAATAAAAAATCCTGTTTCTTTTGATCTAAACTTGAATACATTGTTTGTTACACTGGATCTATCAAAAAACTGGTATAGCAAGGATTGTTTCTTTGTTTGGTCCAAATATTTCTGCCCAAAAGCGACCAATTTTCGAAATCAATTGCGGATTTCGTTGCTGTTGCGTTGCGATTTCGGTTTGGAACTCGAACCGAAACCGCGAGAGAGATTTTTTTCTTGTTGGTTTCGTTTCGAGTGCGATATTTACAATTTCGGTTTGACCGCACCGAAACCAAAAATCCGCAAGTTGCGGTTCATTTCGTTGCGAAGTGAGTGTTGACTCGATCCTCACTCGAATTCGAGGTTTCCACAAACGAGTACGATTAAGCACCCAGCTCAAACAAGCTCTAGATCAATGTATTGCTAGTTCCTCTCAGCCTCGAAAGGTCGGACTCATTCATGAGGTGTCAACCAGATGGTCTTCAACATTTTATTCTCTCGAGCGGTTTTTCGAATTGAAGAAAGTCCTCCAGTACTATTGCAACATCAACGAATCATTGGAGCCTTACCTCCTAACCGAAGAAGAATGGATCTTGGTTGGCAGCTTGGTCAAATTCCTCCGACCCCTTGCGATTGTGATCAAGGAAATCGAAGGTGACGACTATCCTACCTTTTCACGAGCAATGCCCGACTACCAGTGGCTGGTTGAAAAACTTGAGAAAGTAAGTCTTTCTTCTCTTTTGTCAGCTTGAGACTATAACGGAGTATAGACTAAGTAAAATGTTACTTACTAAATGTGAGCTTCTAGGAGATTTGATTTATCTTCCTAAAGCTTGGTTTTCGGTGTCTTAGTAAAGTGATAAAAATCTATAGTTGGTTTCTATAGATGCCTATGGTGCGGGATGTATACCGCTGCCAGGTACTGATCAAGGAGCTGAACACTCGAACGTCTTCCAAAGTAAGAAGGCTTTCGAAAGCAATTCTTATCTTTAGGCCGCACTTCAGTGCTCGTTGACTTATCGTAAAATCAAAAGGGGATGTTGATGAAAGACTTTAGTCAAATTGTCTACGCAAAACGATCTGTAACGCTTTCAGAGAGCAAGATTTAAGAGAAAGGAAATAAAAGAAAAAGAGTTTTGAATGAGACGAAAGATGATTTTGAAAGTAAGAGTTCTATTTTAAAATAAGAAGTCTAGCAAAGAAAAAGTATCTTAAGTTTTCAAAAAAGGGAAAAAGGTAAAGTTTTTAAGGAAGATGATAGATTGGTGATCTAAAAATTGATTGTGTTAAAATTGAGATGATTCTTCTTTCTTTCTTGTTAATCAAAGTGCTTTATATACTTGTTTTGATTGTACGTATTAAACTTTTTTACAAAAAGGACCCTTCTCGTTTTGCCTGGTTTGGTTTCTAGTTTTGGTTCGTAGATATGTAAACCCTTGACTAGGCTCTCTTATCTTTGTTCAGCTGGTCAGGGTTTTCATTCTTGTTAGACCCTATCTTAGACTGGTAGTCACTACTATCTATGAGTTGTTAAAGTGTCATTCGAGGGTTTCACTTTCTTCAGGCTTTGCGGTAGTAAGATGATAATTAATCTGGTTACACTCTTGATACTAGAGTGAGAGAGTTGTAATGTGTAATTATTTTATTACTCGTGTTTTTGTTTTTTATGTTATTTGTCAATGTTTGGGAGTTTTGCTCTGCAAAACTCCTCTTAGTTGACATCTTTCTTTTCATGTTTACTTGTTTATGTTCATTGTCTGACCAATTTTTTTACTAAACTTAGGCATGGAGCACTTATGAGTGTACAAACCTAAAGGCAGCAATCCTTCCTATGGTCAAGAAACTAGTCCGATATGCCACTTTAGCTTTGAAGAAACCTGTTTACATCTGTTCTCCAATTCTCGACCCTTGCCGAAAACTCAATGCCGTGACTGCTTTTACTCTTGAAGAACTCGGATTCAACAAAGATGAACTTGTAGAATACTTTACTGAGCAAGCTAGGAAATTCAAACGCCCTCAAGATCCCAACATCGAAATTGTTGATCCAGACCCTGTTTTTGAAAATGACGATGATAGACCACACCATTTCATTAAACGACGCAAATTCATTCAACTCGAAGACGAAGTAAGAGAGTACCTACTTGCCCCGCTAGTTGATGAACGTACCGATATCTTGGTGTTTTGGAAAACAAACCAATCAAACTGGCCTGTTCTGGCTCGGATGGCCATGTATATGCTTGCCATTCCTGCCTCTGGTGGACCTTCGGAAAGGATTTTCTCTGCTGGCTCGAGGGTTATGTCTGATTATCGAACCAGCATGACCAATCAAAACTTCGAAGCGCAGATCTGTCTCAAGTCGTGGGGAACTGTTTTGTCCTCGTAGTTTCTTTTTTTTTACACTTCTTGTTTTCTCTTGTTTTCTCTACACTCGTTCATGGTTGTGTCTTGTTTTTTATTTCTTTACACTCGTTTCTTTACTTGTTTTCTTTTTTTTTGTTTGATTCTCCTGTCCATGGTCAATTGAGTGTATCTGTGCCTTCTAATCAGCTTGCATCAGGCTGGCCCGAGCCAGGGCCTGCCTGTGCCTGCCCGCCATCCACCTTGAGCACCTCGTGGCCAGGGCCGGTTTTGGGCCGGCCCTGGGGCCGGGTCATAGCCCTAGTCTGTACATACCATGTTGTACTGTCGTTTTCGAAAAGCTTGTCCAAATTTGCCCGCAAAACTCGAGCAGCTTGGCGGGAAAACTCGGACAAACTTTTCGAGAACGACAGTATATGACCATCTATGCCAGTATGCCAATAAGTATGTATTTGCCAACACTGTGATGTCTGTCCGCATCTGTCTGTCCAATTCAATTTCATCAGATAGATAAAATTGAAACAAGGTGTAGGGACATTCATGTGACACGAGATTAACAATCAAATTTGGAAATGAACAAATTGAATTACCTCCCTTTAACACAGCCCTCCTTTGAAATGTCTTGACACCCCCGGGTCCCGGATCAACCCAAGGGGGTGCCAGATATTGGTTAGGGAGCTAGAAACAGCGGGACCCTGAGGTAAAAGAACAACAAATTCACTACACAATCAATTTTTCAAAATACAAGACTTAAAGTAAGCAAACAACAGAGAGAGAGAGAGATGAAATGTGTTTTGAAGTTTTTATTGTAAGAAATACAATACTAGGATCAAAAAGAACAGAAAAAGGAAGCAAAATGAAATGAAGAACCAAAAGAAGAGATTTTTTTATCCAATTAATGGAGCTCTTTCTGAATCCGATAAACTAATTCTACCCTTTCTGAAATTAAAGTACACAGCCTAAAGAAAGGGAAACAAAACAAAACAAAATTAATTCCGATTTCCATCAATTTCACAAAGGAAGCAAAAAAAGAGACAAACCTTTACGATTGCAAAGAGAGTGATGATAAAAGACACCAGTGCAACCCAATGAATACTCGTTGGATTAGATTGTCTAACAAAGACACCGATTAACTCTAATGCAATCACAACTGCGCCAGCTACATCACCTTTATCGCTTTGAAATGCATATCCAACAGCAATACTACCAAACCGAAGAAAACGCATCAGTTGATAGTGAAGAGAAGAAGAGGGAGAAATATAAGGCAAAATACGAACGAAGCAAGACCTAAGAGAGCTATGTTAACCAAAACTTTAGTTATCAAACCAGCATGATGATCTGATTTATCGACACCAAAAGCAGTAAAAGCACTTAAAACTAAGAGAAACACTAAATATGCATGTAAGAGACTGAAAGGTAAATGAACTAAAATCAATTCTGATTTATTTCGTTGGGATGTGTTACGTAGATCCCAATAAACATGTGATACTAGAGAAGCTACGATGAGAGCGAAGATAAAGGCTAAGATGTAATGATGACCGACGAAAAGCTGGTAAAGAAGAAATCGAATCAATGAATCTTAGAGTTCATGAATTGATAAGATGAAGAAAAGTGAAAGTGAAAGTGAAGGATTTACGTGAATCCAAATCGATTGTAAGATTCCGATCCCAGCAAACCGCCAACCGATCACATCTACAATTATCTTAGTACCGATTTCAAAGAATTGAAAGATCACGAATCCTAAAAATAATAACTGGGTAAGAAAAAAACAAATCAGTCGATCATCAATAAAACCTTTATAAAAGAAAATCTAAAAACCACATACATTAATAATAGTCCAAATCCAAAAAGTCTCAGGAGCAGGAGTAATATAACTACATCATCAAGTACAAACCAACCAAAAAACAATACATCAATCTTCAAAACCTTTTCGAAAAGAAAAAGATTAACAAAATCGAAATTGGATGAATTACGTTTCTTTTTGAGAGTAGTAACCAGTTGAAGGTCCACCTAATGAACTATAAAGATTTGAACCAAAGAAAAAGAAAAACACAATTAAATTTAAAATCTTGATGGCTAAGGCATGATTACGATCTGAATCCTAAGAAAAAGAAGAATCAATTGTTAGTTTGATTTGATTTGATTTTGATTTAGATTACATATGTAGATCAAATGTGAAACGTTGACTTACTGTTGCCATTCTGATCGAGTTTTTGATCGATTGATGAGTTTGAGTGTTGCAAAGAGTTGAAGAGGATTTTAGAGTGGCGAACGAAAGAAGGAGATGGAGTCTCGAGTGAAGGGATAGTGGGATTTTATGGATTCAGTAGATCACATATGATGTCATTTCATACTCAAACACATTTCACCAATACAGTTCGGAGCACAAACATGATTATGTAAAATGTACTTTCAAAATGCTTCTTCAAATCTTCTCTTCTGACAAGAAACCAATCAAGCTCCTCATGATCGAGGGCATATCCGGGGATAATTGGAAACCTTCCCAAAAAAAAACGCTCATTAAGACCCCCTAAATTAATGTGTCAGACAATACCAAACTCTCGAAGCTCCAAAGCGTGACACCGCCACACGCGCGACGTGCCACTCGCTTTTGGATATCGAAGTAGCAGTGTGCACGCCATTGACTGCTAAGGCCATCCACACCCGGTCGTGCAAAAGAGACCAGATTGCTATCACTTGAATTTTCATTTGGACAGCAAATAAGACTAATTGTGCAAATTGTATGAAAAACAAAAAATCACAGCACAGCACTGCACTGCATGCCACGGATATCCAGAGAGTATAAACCCTTTTGACTCAAAGGCTTGGAAGTGGAGAGGTGAGTGGTAGAGGACTCAGGAGTGATCAATTGGTTGGTCTTATTGGTTCTCCAATCACACAAGACTGTCCAGATAGGATTGAGTTGACAGCCACATGTGACATTGATGATCCAAAGCAGTGATATTGGGAGGCACATGGGATGGCTATTCATACTGGTCAAGGAGTTATGTATGCCTACAGCCTGTTTACACGCACCGGTGCCTTGTGTTTTTTGGACGCAGTGTGTATACACAAACAATTGATTGTTCTACATGACCAAGTGGCAATGCTCTAAACTGCAACAACAAGAACAGTGCAACCTTCCCAAGACACCATCTTGACAGAAGACCTTTGCTGTGGCCATTGATAAATTCCACTTGGAAATGCTGATCATGTACATCTACCTCCTCCCAAGACATAACCGTTTGAATGTGCAGTGCCCATCACGCTCACACCTGGCACCTTTTTTGTGGCCCAGCCAGGGCCCTTGTGTGGTGTGGCCTTCCATTTGAACAACCTCATATCCTCATTTTTGGTCGCTACTCCCTGCTTAAGACAATCTTGAGGGGGGGCTTAACTGAATTTAATGCACTGTGAAGCAGGTGGTGGGCGCAGCACATTTGACATGTCAAAAGGCGCGCCAGGCACATCGAATATTTCTGAAAACAGGGGGTGGCGCGCCCATACGCAAGACTTGGATAATACAAAGCGTAGAAGGTCTTCTTGGGCCTAATGTTGGGCTAGAGAAAGCCTATTACATTGTAATTTTGGTCTGGTTAACTTTCAAGCCGGAGAAAGCCCTACAGATGAGCCCCATTTGGGATATTTCTGCTCTCAATTGCTCGTCTGAGTCAGGAGACCCTCAAAATATTTCTTGAGCACAAACTTTCTGTGATTGTTATCTTGAAAGTGTGGTCATACTGAATTAAAAAAGCTTTTCTCACATTCCCATTTGTGTTTGAGCTTCATCACAGCCTTGATTGCTGTTTCTGCAAAGATTTTTGCATTTTTTTAATTTTCTTTTGCTTCAAAGGCGCACCCACACGCCCCCTGCTATTCGCATCCCAGACAATGGATTCTGCGCCTGGGCGCGCCTCTCTCTGTCAAATCCACATCCACCACCTGACTGTGAAGGCTATGAAGGGATCGGGGTGAGGGCCACACCATGGCCTAAGCCCTGGTGGCCCTTGCCATGTGCCCCTCTAGGGCGCCTGGTGGCTTTGCGGCACCAGGTGTGAGCGTGAAGTGCCCACCAAGACATTAATCTCCCATTGGGAAGCAAGCCAAAGCATGAGATACCCAATCAAGTGATGTGAGAAAATATTTTGGAGATTCAGATGGGAATTCTACAACGGTGTAAGGCTTGAACAACAGTACCAGCTTGGATGATCCCCAAACAAGCAACAGTTAGACTGGGTGTTGGAATCATATGTGTGTAGAAGGCAAAGGGTCAGACGACTCAATTGCAATGATGTGCCATCCTGAACAAAAAAAATAAAAAAAATAAAAGTTTTCAGTGAGAATGTGAGAATGTGAGAATTGGTAAAGAGAGACACTCTAGATGACCTTGAGGGAAAGGAAAAGATGAAGAGAGCATAAGCCAATCATCATGAAATGTTTAATATTTGAAATGTCAAATAATGGCACTTATGAAAAATCCCAAAATAACTCAACTCAGAAGTGCTGGACCAAGTTCCCTGGAGGGAGTAAATTAATTGTCATGTCCAAAACCCAAAAGCCCCTACAAGGTGGACAGTGGAAACATAACTACAACTGTAACTAAAATTAACAATAATAATAATAAAAAATATAACAGTGTAAAAATATAATAGAGTAATAACAATTGTTAGAACTTCTTAAATTCACTATTCATTCAAACACGCACAATTGTTTTTTTAAAAAAAATGATAACTTACAAAAAGAATAATAACCTATCTTGAAATATGGATTTTTTTTGTAAAAAATCAGAAACAAAAAATTCCGCCAAAATAAGTTGAAATCCTAGAACAAAGAAGTATAACCAACAAGGGAGGGAAAGGGAGGGCCTTTTCAGAATAAAAAGAGCTAATAACTGTTAATAATGACTTTCAGATGATTTATTCAAAGTGGAAAGATGGATCTTGAACGGTAAAGAAAAAATGGTAAATTGTGGTAAACAGACATATGACATCAATTACCAATGAGAGTAATATAACAGCATAAACCCAACCTGACAATTGCAGGCATTTTTTAACAAACAGTACCTAAACATTCATGACATTTGTGAGATACAAAGTTAAATCTGTCAGCCCCGTGCCCTATTACTAGTACCAAAGGGCTGCCTAAATAACTATAAAATAACAAAAATAATAATTACAACTCATGGCTCAGTTTCAAGAGCCAAGTACATATGTAATTACATATAGTTACATATGAAATTACATATGTACATACATGTAAATGTAACCAAAAGGTTGCATTATGTAAGAATGCCTTTCACAAGTGCGCATCACATGAGTAACACAAGACTTACACATGTGCGTAATCAGATAATAATTAAATAATTAAAATTCATGATTACATACGGCAAATGAGTATGTAATCAAATCACAAGTTGTACATAAAGGATTTTTAGGGTTTTGAGTATATAAGGAGCTCTCTGACCCGCCAGGAAAATCCATCATCATCATTAAATTTAAGCAAATTATCAATAAATTCATCAATCAGATAAATAGAGTTCTTGTCCTCATTTGTTAGACATCATATATTTCTCTTATTGATTATTACCATTGTAGTTTGTTGAAGTTCTTTTGAAGACTTCCTTCAGGAGGTGATCCTTGTAGTATTTCTCAAGTTATTAAGGGAATTCAATAACTTGAGAAACTCTAAATTCACGGAAGTTCCTCTGTGTTCAGAGTTTAAAGAACTTCAAATATCAATAGGTGATATTTACCTTGATTAACAAACTCTAGAGTAGAGTGTTGTTAGCTTGGGCACAAAACTAGACTGTAGTTTCTACTCTACATCCGGCTAGAAGACCATTTGTCTTGCATTAATTGCCGGATTTGTATCCAAAACCCTTTGTTGAAAGGTCACCTAACTGAAGTCAGTGCTGATTTGATCACACTACTTCTCAGCTAACCTTATTTTGAAACTTACAACAAGGTTCCCACACGCCTAATAAACTTAGTTTATTAGTCCATCCTTATCTTTAGTGACTTACTGGCCCAAAAGACGCTAGTAGCTCACAAAATCTGTGATTTTTTCCCAGTTTCCCAGTTTTTGTTTTTGGCTGTGTTTGGAACTTTCCCACATTCTCCCAGTTTCCCAGTTTGCATTTTTGGCTGTATTTTGAAAACTGGGAAACTGGGAAAAAACTCCCAGTTTTAACTTTGTATCCCATAATTACAATTCGTAAATAAAAAGTGACCTATGACTAGAACAATGAGTCAATTGCCCTGTTTTGTAAGACAATTTCTGAGTCATCAAATTGACCATTATTACATCAAATCTGTTGAAACCAAAATTGAAATTAAAGACTTGAACATTGGAGTGAAATGGTTTCTCTCTGAATTGATCATCTTACTAACAGGAATCATGTGATATGTTATTGCCTCAGTTGTGAAGCAATCACTCCTTTCAATTTTTGAGCAAAGAACATCATTGTCTGTATCTGTATCTTACTGTTTACCTTTCTTGCTTTTTAATATTTCTTGTCATAGGAATATATTGGGAAGAGTTTTGACATCACATCAAACCAACACATTGTATCTGGAAACTTCCCTCCAAAAACTTGGTTTTGAATCAGATGAGGAGAAGGCAATCCTTGTAATTGAAGGCTGTATCTCCTCAAAAAAAAGGCTTGTAATGTGCTATGCAGTTGACCATTGCTGAGCTTATAGCACGGTATGCTTTCATTCATGATATAACATAGCCTTGTGCCAGAAGTCTGGTATCAGACAACGAATACTTGTCAATCTCACATTTCATATATCCTAATTCTATTGAGCAATTTAAAAAAACGTTAAACAAAGACCGTCACCCAAGGGAATTTGGAAGAAAATTTGAGTAGATCAAACATTTAAACAGGTTTCCATTGTAGTTTAGCCTACGCAAAGATAAATGGAAAAATAGGACACAAGTTGCATCATGGAATTTAGATTTCTCAACCACTTTGATCAAAAACTTGCTGTGTCAAAGTAGCATTACAAGCCATACACACATCACCCTGTCCTGACATTGTTGACATAAGGAAGGATCCATAAAAGGTACCAGGTTTCGGAACATGATCTGGATCCGTAAGTTGCTATACAGAGATATTGTTGGAAGATCAGTTGAGCGTTCAGAAATCATCAAATCAAATGTGAATTCAAACGTACCACACCCGGTGGTAATACATAATTATCGCAATTTGGGGAACCATCATACCCCTTGCCGGCTAACTTTGCGTCATAGCCTGAATTCATTTCGGGCAGAGTCAACAAAGGCGGCAGAATGTTACCATGCTCACTGTCAGGTAGAAACGTTTGTTGATGAGTGTTAAAGATCTTCAGTTATGAAATCAAATGTCTTCAAAGATACATACTCTCGACGACCTGCCACTGGCTTCTCTTCGCCATCCTGTGGATAGACCTTTCGAAAAGGTAATGATTGAGTCTGGTTGAACAAGTCATGACACTTCAGATGAATGTTTGAATAGACTCACTACACAAGTACGGCAAATGGCACATGATGGGTAACTCGGATCATACAGGAATGCGATAGCACTGTTCGAAATCGGTTTGATAAATCATGTTGATCAGTAAGCAGAGGTCTCGAGATTGAACACATTGAACACAGGATAATAGAGGACATTGATTTTAAGGAATGATGACTGACTCATAGCAGTCAGTCGCAAATCCTGATAGACGAAGTGTGGAGGTGATAAAGCAGGTCATCATTCCTGGTAATACTGAGTCTCGCTTCGTTTCATGCTTCCTTTTTACAAAAGAAGTGGAGCCGGGATCTTTCTCAGATTCGGAGGATCGCACAGACAATGTGTCATGGTTGTTGGGTTGACCAAGTATGAAAAGGACTTGCGAAAAGATGATGAGTGTTACGATGGTTTTCATATTGGGGGCTACTAAAAAGCGCCCGCAAATAAAACCTGAGACCGCCCGCTTTTAGAATCCGGTAGTTACTAAAGATGTTTGACTGAACTGTGGTTCAGTCTTGAGGAACTAATTTGTCGAGTGTCCCAAATGTGATTGAAATCAAATCAAATGGAAACCGGGCGGTCTTGAAAATGATCGACAACAGTCAAAAACCCACCATGCAAAACCCCTCCAAAACCTCCCGCTCTCGCTACCCACATCTAAGCAGGATAGTTGGCGTGTTTCTTACTTCTTTTCTAACCAAGTTCTGTACCACACCTATAAAGCTCCGGCTGGTGGGGCTGGTGTTAAGAGAAGTGGTCATGAGTACACGCGAAAAAGGTTTTCACACCCTCCTTGCCTAGATTCAAACTCGATGAAGCTAGAACTGCCCCTCTTCTGCAAGTCTGTCCATTTCTTCCTACCCAAGTTGGAATGTAATTTATTCGTTGAAGACCTTTATCTGCTTGTATCTGATCCAAGAGCTGTATAAAATCACAAAGACACTCGGTCAATCTACATTGTAGTTGATTATTTTGATTGATTATCACTCGTTTCTTTTTCCTATCTCGCTTCGGAACCCACCGATTTCTCGCCACCCCTTCTCCTTTTCATTGCATACACGTCTTGCTCATAGTTGTTGAAGCAGGAATACAATGAGATACTTCTTGCATTGGTTTGAAAGGGTTTTGACACTATTCAACTTACAGGTCGGACAAATTCGCGATAAACCCCTAGGATCCACAAAACCGGGATGAATCCAAGTCGTGTTTGAACGTAGCCTCAAACTTTGAGACTATAGGTGAGCCAGACAAAGCAATTAAGTCATCAAACTCAAGTAAAACCTTCAAATGCTCACAAGAGCTCAGAGACTGGAATCTTTTCTGCCTTCTAGCCTTGTTGCTGGTACAAAACAGAGAATAGTCAAGCCTGAGGGGATTGCTAAGAGGCTCAGGTCCTGTTCAGTGATGTGATTGTCTTTCAAGCCGATCTGAACAATCCAGTCAAGATAAACAATCAATATGAGGGATGAGATGTGGGTAGCGAGAGCGGGAGGTTTTGGAGGGGTTTTGCACAGTGGGTTTCTGACTGTTGTCGATCATTTTCAAGACCGCCCGGTTTCCATTTGATTTGATTTCAATCACATTTGGGACACTCGACAAATTAGTTCCTCAAGACTGAACCACAGTTCAGTCAAACATCTTTAGTAACTACCGGATTCTAAAAGCGGGCGGTCTCAGGTTTTATTTGCGGGCGCTTTTTAGTAGCCCCCTTCATATTTAGAGATAAGGAATATAGATCATTATGCTCGAAGGGAACAGGATTATGATGTGGATTTAAACCAGAGGGTAAAAAGCAACAGCACGCGAGCCAAAACCGAGACCTTCCCACACTGCGTCTCGCACCTCGAGGACTTTGATAATTTTAGTTTTATACTCATGTCAAGAGTTAGAGTGTGCGGGAAAGAAAACTGATGGAACACTTTATTCCTCGACTACGAGTCGAAACGAGAGAAGCCCGTGTAGCGACCTGTAGCGACTCGTTGTCAATATTCCCTGCTCACAGCTATTCTCAAGAGAACACCTCTACAAAGTTAACAAAGTCCCTGTCATCTGAGGTTTTGTTTCTGAACTCATTTTAACAATTCAACCAAATCAAGATGAATAACATGACTAATGCTTAATAATTTCAATTTCAATTACAAGAATGTGAAAACGAAAACCCAACAAACTTAAGTTTTTAAATTCTGACTCATGAACTCTAATTTTCTTTTTAATTAATTAAATCTTAAACATGATCATTTACATACATCTTTTTGTTTTTGATTACATTTCAACACACTTCAACTCATGATTTGTAAAATCTACCTCAAAACACCTTCCATTAATCCCATTCATCATCACTTCCTCCTCCTTCTTCATCACTATCATCTCCCATTGTACCTTTTCTTTTATTCAATGCAGCAGCTAATGAAGCTGCCAGATCTCCACCTCCTCCACCTTCTCCACCTCCTGTATCTGGTTTTGTTGTGCTACTCGTGGATTGACTTAATGGATTACGTGTTGAATCAGAATTACTCTGAGGTGTCTAAAATTAGATTATTCAATATCAGTATTCAAACGACTTGATATGGGTTTTATTGTGATTTATCTTCACTCACTTTTTTAAGTACATGGATTCCTTTGCCTTGGATACTTGCCAATAAGTTTGCACGATCTCCTGCCACTGGGGTTAAAGAGGTCATAGACGGTGGTGGTGGTGCACCTGCAGGTGGCGGAGGTGGTGGGGGCGGCGCTGCGGCACTAGGGGCGGGAGGTGCTGGCGGGGCGGGAGGTGCTGGTGCTGGAGGTGCTCTTGATTGACTCATCGGTGGAGCGGGAGGTGGAGGTGGGGCTGCTGGTACACTCGAGGTAGATGACGGGGGTGGTGGAGCGTTTGATCGAGCAGCTGGTGAAGGGATGACAGGTGGGGCTGGACGAGATGGTGCATGAGTGGAAGGTGGTGGACGAGAAGGTGGTGGGATGGTCTGAGTCGTGGTTGGTGCTCCTATTGAAGAAGAAGTAGTATCGTCCGGAGTGCTATTGCCATTGCGTCGAGGAGCTGGTGGTGCGGGCGGTTTGACACGCTTAGACGTGATCGGAGCGGTGACTGAGGGTGGTGGAACTCTAGAGACAGGTGGGATCGGGGGACCATTCGAACGACCTGGTGCTGAAGAATTAGAATTAGATAGGATTTGATTCACACCACCAGCTGAATTAACAAATTCCTTGATAAAGTCTTCATTCTTGCTAATATCATCCTAGAAAAAGGTTAACAAATTTTAAAAGTTTCAGGATATCTAAAGATTGAAAGAGTCATGAAAGAAAAGAACATGATTTTACCTGACTGAATCCCATGCTGGATAAATTAGTCAAGAGTTGAGCCCATGAAGGATCGACATTTTCGGTTGTGAAACCAAGTTTACTATCATATCCCATATGAGCCACGCGCTAGGATTGGATTCATTAGTAACTGAAAAACAATCATAGTCGAGATACAAGAAATTAATGAGAGACCTACTCGGAATCCACTAGGAGCACCGATCATACTTTTATCGATCCCACCCTTCTTTTTACCATTTACGACTGGCGAGACTTGTGGAGATGTAGTTTCAACAGGTGTAGATTTACTTGATGATTTGCCTGTAGATCGGAAATACAATGGCTCATGTCAGGGTCTGGGTTCAGAACTCAAGAGCCAACAGACCGAAGTAATTGAGAAGGTGACATACTGGCATATTTGGATCGATTGATCACTTTTTTATATATAGTTGAAGCTTCGTCTTCATTCGAAAATACAAAAGCTATCATACATTCCTAAGTCAAAAGTGCCCAACAAAAGAAAGGATCAGGAAAGAACCATCAATAATTCAATAGGATTAGGTATTTAAGTTGAACAAGTAAATTGAGACTTACATCACCTTGAAAACTATGCCAAAAAGTACGTTCTTGAACATAACCAAATACACCTTTTCCAGGATGACCTGATCCATCTTCATAAATTTCATGTTCCCAAATCGTACCACGAGTACCTTCTAAATCAATTAGTTTAAACCAAAATTGATTTAATTGATTTGAAGAAGTTGAACGACCAAAAGTTAAAGCTCCTGATAAACCTGTAAATGACCAACTGAAATGTTCATAGTTGAAACGAAACAAAAAACACGTATGTATGATTAGATCGGGTCTTTGTCTTGACTGTTGTTGAAAACTTTCAAAGATTTTTCGTACTGATTTGGATCTGGATAAGCGTAATAAATTCGACAAATTCCTGCTGCTAAGATCTTGTGATAATTAGTTGGTAAACTTTTCTTAATTGTAGCCTTCTCATTCGCTGTAAAACTTGAAGAAGGCATGTTGGATTTTGATCGAAAGGTTGAGCCAATGTAAGTTGAGGTGAATGGTTTGTTCGATTGAGTTTCTAAAGGTGAATGATAAGAGAAGTGCACTGCCAAGTCAAATTGGATCTGAAATAGGAAAGTTCAACAAAATCAATGCTAGCCTCAACAGAACACTCAGCATAAAGACAACCCTTTACGTTACATATGAAATTACACATGACATCCACATGTAAACATAAAGCAGCGTCTTTCAAACTTGATCAATCACAACCTCAAAGAGAACACAAATTGTACGGAGCACAGCATCATCAGTTTAACTGGGCCAGGTTAATTGATATACCGTCAAGATCAATACTAACACCACATCGGATCATCAAGTTCCACAAAGTCCCGGTAATTTTCTTCGAAGTCCTTGTTTGCCATGATTTTTTATAGTTTCCTTCAAAAGCTTGCCCCGTACATAGGTTCCAATACAAACACTTGAGTAAAGCAGTTAGTAAAAATCACTTTCGATGGCGCTCATCCTAACCTCTGCTAGGCATATTCATGGGAATGGTGATCTTGAGGAACAAGGAGAACGTTGTGTCCCGATTCCCAGGCCAATTGGCCGTGGTGCGGTGGAAGCGTATTGACAGTTGACTCGATCACAAGCGCGCATGTGCTGACCACCGCATATCTTGGCATCTTACCATACCGGCAATTTATGCAAGATACACCACGAGGACACTCATCTACATTCAGGATGTCATCTGTCCACTACTACTCGGGTATGAATGTATTGAGTGTATGAAATCTATTAATTTCAGGTTGTTAAGTTTGTTACTATGGTCAAACTCAACATATGTTCCAAAGTAGGAGATGCTCTCCTATGAGTTCTTTGTAACCAACACGTAGTGTAATCTACTATGCGGTGGTGTGGGGGTGTGCCCCGAAGGGGCAGGCTCCTGGAGATAGACGTCTATCACCAGGTCATGCCTATCCCTTCGGGGTGATAACAAAGAACCCGAGGAGGGTTTCTCTTCCCCCTAACTCACGGGGATTGAGCCGTGAGCCTAGAGAAACCCCACTCCTCAGGCACCGTGAGTTCTTCTTATTCTGTGTGTGACTGACGCGCGCAGATAAAGAGCTGTACACAACTATCAACAATGATCTGCAATAGGATTTCATTTGTACAGCTCATCCTCTGTACAAGCTCATTCAAACTTTGTGCGCCCTCTCTCCGCTTGTGTAACTTTATGGATAAGGTTTCACCACGTACAAAGAGTTCGGACCAACAACTCCAGAATGATTTTCTTCCGTCACTCGTCAATCTATTTACAAGTTCTAGCAACAGCTGTGCCTGTTTTATTCTCTACCTCTTCTTCTTCTCAGGCAGGGAGTCTTTCTACTACTCGGACTCCTCTTTACTTCCAGATTAGGTCGTTCAGCAATCTTTTCGTCTTCTCCATTTCTTTGTCTGAGAATTTGCGTAAATAAATCAAGTATGCATTTGATGCCCAACGGCCACATCTTTTCACTTCCTCTCTATCTGCCCCTAGATTCCATCGCAGCAAAGCTCCGCCTATTCTGAATGAATGGCCATAGAGCATCTGTTTCGACTTCGGGCGTTTCGTATTCCAAACAGTGCGTAAGTTCTTAATCGTCTCTAGCTTTCCTAGCCGTTTCTTCCTTCCTTCTATTGACACAGTGAAAATCTCATCACTCGGTTTCCTCAGCCTCAAGACTGACCACTCTTCTAGCATCGACACCGGGTCTAACAAGGAATTCTGTCTATGCAGTATTATCGCTTGCACCTCCCCTGGCTTTGCTGTTTTGGCGTTATGGAGATATATCTTGACCGTCATTCGATCTTCACTCCACTCTACATCATCCCATCTCGGCAACCTTTTCTTCGGATCGTCCGATATAAGTTCTCCCAAACGCGCAGTACCCCAGAAAGCAACTAATGCCACTGTCAATTGAGCTAACCCCAGCTCTCCTTGGTCTGGCAGGACGTCTAGCAACACTATTAAATCCGATATCGTTACTGGCGGCCTCTTCTGTTTGATTAAGTTGAAACGAGCTTCTATAGTCCTCGATGCCTTCAACAACGTTTTCACTGCCTCGTTTGCATCCTGTGGATAATCTTCACCGTGGTATGAATGCCATGCTTTTATACCTGCGATGTACGCTTTCAAGGTTGAGTACTTCACCGATTCATCTTCTTCCGCTACTTCTACACTCTTCCTTGACGACCAGACAACAAATTCTTTCAACAATTTCGCTGATATCGGTAAAAGTTGATCCTTTTCGATACCCTTCACTTTAGCAAACCGATGTAATTTAACCACACCTGAGTTGTAGCTCTTCAATGTACCATTGCTCCACGCTCCCCTCAGAAAATGTTGTTTTACTGGGTCGAGATCTGTCGTGTCAACACCTAAAGCATCTTTCTTGAATACCCCGAATGGGTTCGTTGCTTTCTTCAAGGACTTCAAATTCACCAACGTCATATCCCGACTTCTGCTCTGAGATGCTAAAATCAGATTTATGCTTCTGAGCGACTTCTCAATATGGAACACAGACTCACCTTTGACTTCACTCTGAACTCCAACTGTCTCTAACGTCGTGGATTTCTTTGGTGGGAAAACTTGCCTAAGAATGAACCTCAAGTCTTCCGGAACTTCAACTAGAACTTCATTGAACCACAACAACTTCCCCAGCCACCCTCTAGAGAGTGCATCTGCATCGTTGCCCTTTGAGGTTACTCGTTTCGCCGCGATGTCACAGCCTAAATTAGTAAGTAACCATTGTACCCTTTTCCACTCTTCGTTTACTCCTTCATCTTTAGACTTCCGTTTCTTGACCGCTGACTGAGAAGTTGTATTGTCTGTCCATACTAGGAACTTTTTCCCTGTTCGGCCGACTCCCATCAGTACTCCAGTCACTCTCTACTACAAGGATCGAGTAGCTGACTCACCTGCTACATGCCGCAACTTACTTAGCACGACTAAGCCTAATCTGATCGCTATGGTTTTGGCCCAAGCAATCGACCTTTTGCCTTCTACCATTTACAACATCTGCCAACCTTGTTTAAATTCAAAACACGCCCACTGTTCCCCAATTAACACCCCGATCCCGAACGATGACGAAGCGTCTCCGACCCACGCTATTTCTATCGCCTTTGGAGAAGGAATCAGAGCTCTTGACTGGAAGGTGTGTAAACATCTTGCCCATTCTTCCAAATCAGGTCTCACATACTGAGGAACGTGTCGTAGAGCAGCTTTATTTACCCATTCTTTCAGCCATTTATAGAACAAACACATATAAGCTTTCATATGAGGAACGATATACACTGTGTGTACTAACTTCCCCAACAGGCTCTCAATCGTGTTGAATGCCCACGGGTTTTCTTGATGTAGTAAGTCGAATATCAATTGTTTTCTCTCCCGTAATTTCTCTTCCGGAAGTCTAACAGTATGTTCTTTTCCATTCCAGATAAAACCAACATAGTGTTGCTCGGTTGCGAACTCATGGTTTTTTGCCGGATTCGTCTGGACTCCCAAACTATTGCTCAATGTCGTCACATCTGCTAAAGACGACAAATCTCCTGGCCTCCTGAATATCAAGTTGTCGTCAACCCATCTGAAAATCTTCCTCACATTCAAGATTTTCTCCATGATGATCTTCCAGACATGCGCTGGGGCTCCAAAAACACCACAACTCGCCACTCCGCCGAAACCTACAGCTAAGTCTACCCAAACTCTTCCTTGAAAATCTAAAATACATAAAAATCTCCGCTGACTAGGATGCAAAGGTAGTTGCCTATAAGCCTTCTGCCAGTCGAATATGGCCATCTCCCATTCTCCAGGATTTTCTTGAAAAAAGATTGCAACTTTATCGAAGTCGTCCCAGTAAGTTCCATAATTCAGCTTATTTACGAAAGAATTTACTGACGGCAAGCCTTCTTCGTTTTTAGGATATGATAGATCATTTACCATTCTAATGGAACCGTCTCCATTTACAGCGCTCCCCATCGGATTTGACCTAAAAAAGCCAAATTGCTTATAAACTTCTTCGTGTGTAAACGGTCCCGCGACTCTTCCTGCTCTTAACTCTTTCTCCAGCGTGATTTCAATTTGATTTTGAGCCGACTTCGCCGATCTATGATTGTTTGGTGTATACCAAGGTAAGTCTCCTAAATCATGTTGAGGTATACCTAAGCAAAACCCATGTTTGAAACCATTGGTAATATATGGTATATCTTTTTCTAGACCGACTTCCTTCATTAACTCTGACAATTCTTCTATCACCATTTTACATGACACCGGGGCCGGCCACATATTCTGAACTGGAACAGCGAATATTTTCCTCTGCCAGAATGGGATAGGATTCTTCTTCGACTTAATCGCCTCGTCTTCACTACTGCTCGACTGCGATGTCTCGGCCTCCTTCTCCATCAACTCTCGTATCCTGTTCTCAACCTCACGAAGGACACTGCCTCTCAGAGAATTCGGAGGCATCTCCTCACTAACTCGACTGAAGCAAAAAAGGGTTGATTACGACGAAGAATGTCAACTTAGAATCAGATTTCAACCACATTCATGTACTCTCTCTCCAATAATTCACAAGCTATAGCGTACCACAACAAGAGCAAAACCCATCCCAACAATTCAAAAGGAATAAGTAAGAAACAACAATTTCCATATAGTATTTGGCAGTCCAACCAAGTCAATAACATCCATCATTTCCGAAATCGATCACAACTCAATCAGTCTCTACTGTTTCTCACTTCTTCAGAACAACATAAGGTACTCACACAGTCTGCACATCTTGTGCCTGCGTCTTCGGTGCTCCTGTGTTCACATTTTGTTTGTTGTTCTTGTTATAGAACCAAGGTTTAGTAGTTGATGTCTGATTCACTGGAGTAGACGAGTTGTTCGAGTCTCCTTTAGCGCCAACAAATTCATAGTTAGTTGTTATCTCATCCTTATCAAATTCAACAGTCTCTGCACTTACCACCTGAAGGTTCTTCTGCATTTCGCTGGGTTTGATTGAATTGGAAGTTATTATGGTAATTGGGTCTCTTATGGTAAGATCTCTTGTTGCCATTTCCTCGTTTGCCTCGATTACTGGCTGAGTTTGAGTTCACCTCTACCACTCTCTCTGTGATGGCTGCTAACCCACTCCGAACCGTTTGTCTTCCTGTCGAGAAGTCATAGCCGAATTTCTGGCCACCCGGAGCGTACGGGTTATCAACGTATTGGAGATCTCCTGCTCTGTCTGCCGCGAACTTTGCTTTCTGGACAACTTTATCCTGAACTCCATTCGGGATCTTGATCACATCTTTCAACACCGTTTTGCCTTTAACTTTTGACTTAATCAACTTCCGTCTTCTAAAAATGACTGTCCTCACTTTCAAATGATACTTCAATCCTATCATCCAGCAATTATAAGCTTTCTTCAAATCGGAAACTATCTTCTTGTGTTTTACCACATAATCTGCGTACGTATCCAAACCATAGATTTCTCTAGCATACCGCTCTTCCAAATCGCACATCTCTATGAAATCACCGTACGTAAGTTGTTTTTCCAGAAGTTTCAATGAAGTCTTTGACACATCCAGCTTATTCTTCGTCTTCTGATCTTTCTGATCGTGATCGTCATCATGATAGCTCTCTAGCAAAGCGGTATTAAACAGCGTTAAGGGTACATAAGCTCTCAACTTTCTAAATCCCTTGTCCCACTTGTCTGGCAAGTCTGGTAAATCTGCAGAATCGAAATCCGTAATGTCATAACCGAGTTCCGCTTTCTCAACATCTGAATCGTCATCTGAGGAATCTTCTTCCGACGGAGAATCATCGTCGGATGATGAAGAGTAGGACTTCTCCGAAGAATCTGAGTCATCTGCCTTTTTCTTCTTCAGGCTAGTTTTCTTCTTTTTCTTTTTCTTCTTCGGTTTAGAAGTGTCTGAACTATCTGACGAGGACGGGTCATCTCGTTTCTTTTTCTTAGATCGAGAGATATCTAGTACGTCCGACTCATCTTGCAACGTGTCCAACTGTCCTGCTTTCTTCTTCCCTTTTCTCTTCTTCTTATGACTAACTAACGGGATTTGACTAACTGACGGGATTTGTTCTACTTGAACCACTTCGTTCATCAAGGTCTCCTCTGCTTTCTTATTTGGTATCGAACCAGAGATAGATGCTAGCAATTGACTCGAATCCATCAACGTTGAGTTTACGGTCGACTTTTGGGACTGTCCTTGCAATTGATGAGTTGCAAGAGGTTGTGACGCTCCAGATTTGCTTGGAATCTTCGACTCTGATGGTTCATAGCCGTCATACTCCATCGACACCAGCAAGCCATATCTAGTATTAAACTCATCTATCAAACGCCTCGCCTCATTTCCATTCGAGGCATCTAAGGCACTAGTCAAGGCATTGATAAGCGCTCTACTGCCTTGATCCGGGTCTTTGTTTCCGGGTTCGCGTAAAGCTAAAAACCACATCCAAACAAAAGATTTGTAAGTAATCTATCAATCTCTCTTCTCAATGGAATGAACAGATGATGAATGATGAACAGCAGCTAAGGATCTCTTCGCTTGTTATTACGCCATCCTAGCGCTTACTGCAGCTAGTATCGAGTACCTTCAACTTCTCGTTTGAATTGGGAACATTCTCATGCTCTCAATCTACTAAAAAAAGGTTGGAAAGGCCTCTTCATGATAAGGACGCTCAGCTCCAGATCACTACCCTTGTGTGCGCATATAGCAGCAACACCCAGACATGGATTTACCAGTCTCAACAAGGCGCTTCAAGCTGCTCTTGTTTCATCTCCTCTACCTCACTAAGAGGGCGCTCTAGGCAGCTTAGGAATGAGAGAGAGAAAAAATTCTTGGAAAAAGGAATCTTTAGAAACATAACCTACCATCTATCGGTACGCCATCATATACCTTCTTCTTTTTTGACTCTTCTTGCTGACGTTTCTCTTCTTCTCTTCTCATCTCTATCTTCTCCAACTCTTTCTTCTTAAGTTCGAATGGCTTCACATCTCGAGAATCTGATTCTTCCTCCGACGACAATCCTGATGACCCTTCTTCTTCCTCGTCACCTCCGATCAATTGAAGTCTTTCTTTTCCAACCACCTTCTCCGACAATCCTTGTCTAGCTCCTGAGTTACTGCCACTCGCCAAATTTGGATCCACGTAGTTCAGGTCACGTTCCTTGCCCTCTTCTCCTGATTTCGGGATCCTCGCTTCTGCTCTTCTCTTCCGTTCTTCAGCCTGTGCTACTTTCTTCTCTTCAGCTCCTTTAGTTGATGTTACCATCTCTTCAAGACGATTCTTAGTCGATAATAACTTTTCTTTTTGATCTTTGTTCATCTAAATGATAATAATAACGTGGTATAAGAGTGACAACTAAAGTCTTCTAACTTAAGTTTTATCTGCTTGAGGAAATAAGCTCTTTATATCACTAGATCAAAATTACTCCTCTTCTGGATTTCAATTAAATTCTACTCTATCTCTATTAAGATCTACTCTTATGATAGTATATGCTAAATTTATTTTCGAGCGTTGAATTCTAAGAGAAAATAGAAAGAGAGAAATAACCAAGCTGGGGAGAGAAATGAGTTGGCGACTGTGGAGGAGAGAGAGGAAAACTTTTTCCTCTTCTGCTCGTCAGCCACAAGCCACTCTCCTCTCGCCTTCCGGGCTCGGTACTCTGCCCGGGATTTCTCCCAGTACTTGGTTACTTCTCTACCCTCGGTATTGGACTACAGTTTACCGTCGCGGGCTTGGGGGTAAACTATCAATTTTTGCAGAGGGCAAGACATCCTGACACGGTGGTCTGCAAGGCGTCCACCGGATATCCCCCTCAGACACCGTCACGGAGCGTTACAAGATGTGCTCGGACTGAGGACACCGCCATGGCGTCCAAAGGATGAAGTGAGGATGTCCCACCTCAGGGTCATCTCAATGATGTCCCGACTTGGGATGCCAGCCCTATGTCTCGATGTAGGACGGTCGGGACATCCTCCTGCAAAAAGATGCCTTTGTGGTGTAGAAACTTTGCATCTACCGCTTGGAAAATGTAAATACTAAACTTAACTAAGCCCTTTTTCCGAGCCGGCCACGTCCGCTCTCAAAGAGGGGCTTAGGGCTGGCTTATACCTCGCCTTGGGTCTAAGAGTCAGACCGGCAAGGTTTTCAAGCGCTTTTGCTTGAAATCCCTTTTTGAGAGCTCTACACGCCGTGCAACCTAGAAATAAATTCAAAGCTCTTCTGCTGCTCCAGGCTTCTCCCCATACGGACGTGGTCGCGTCGGAAGAGGGGCCTAGTTAATCTTGAACGTGTACACCATTAAGCAAAAGAGAACAGAGGTGCTTCATGCACTTCACTGGGTACATACATACGTAATTCAAAGTAGGGAGTATTACTATCAAGTAGGCTTTTTCTGCTGCTTGTGTTGAGCTTTCCCACTGCATTAACGAGCAACTGGCTCAGGCCCTCCTGCCCAGCAAACGAGCAGAGGCCTGCCACGAGCCTTATTGTATATGAGGGAAAGAAACTCCCTTGCGGGTACAGGTGAATAGGGTGATCATCATTACCTTATACGCTACCCCCTCGTGGTCTAGCAGCTTTGACCCTTTTGCGCCGGGCACTGGGATGCAGGGGATAAATTCATCCAGTTCTAGAAGGATGTGAAGGATATAGTTTTTCGATATACGGGCTTCCGGTTTCATAGTTGTCAAAGTTAATGAATGTAGATACATATTCGCTTGTTCTGCTAGCTCTGAGAACTGAGTCAAACCTCATCTCACTCGTGTGTCTCTGAGCGTGCCCGGTTGGGCAATCTCGGATAGGCGGTTTGAGAAATCTTAATCAAGCTGCTGGTTCTTTCATCAGAAACATTTAAACGTCACACTTTGAAGATTACTGGGAGAGAAGACGAACTCCTACATTCCATATTCCTTAATCTTTCAAAATCTCTTGAAAATAAAATCTCTATCCTTCAAAGCGATTACGTCCTCCACTTACTTTGTACCCACAAACTCAGCAAGAAGATATGTCGTCGGTTTCCGGTACTCCGAGGACCAATCCTTTCAAGTACGAACTCCAGTTAGTTGTGAGTCATTCGTTCTAGACCAGCGCCCTCTCTTGATGCACAGTTGGTCATGAGCTCGCAGTTGATCGACTTGCATCTCATCCTCCGGGAAACTCCTACTGGTTGTTTTTACAACAGGAGGGGATGGTCAACCCCCAATTCCCTTCGTGGGCTTTGGCCATCTTGATGTTGTTCGCCATCATGAGAGGTATTCTCATCCTTATATGTATAGCAATCATGGTGATACCGCTAGGAAAGGGTCACGCAAGCCGCAAAAAACACTGGTTCTTATTTCGTGGAGTATACCCAGAACCAGGTGAGTAGCATTCATAAATTCATGATCATCAGTGGTGATAATCTGACTAGAAGTGATGTTTGACATGCATTCTGATTGATCTCGAACAGGGAGAGGCATTCCCTATGTCGTTCCTAATCGTTCAATGATTATTGTCGTATGTGAGCTTTTCTCTAGCATTTTGTACTTGTTGGCGGCGTGTGAAAACTACAAGGTAAGTGTCCAAGGATTCGAATAACCCTCGCATCAAAAATGCTGATCCCCTTCATTATGACTTTCAATCGAAAGACTTATAAACACTTAGGGCTAGAGGAAGGAAGTAGTGGTTGGTTTCTTGTGCTCTGGTGAGTTCTATTGATCAAAATAGTAGAGGCATGAAGGCATGAATCCTCCCCAGCTTGTGACTGACTTCTCTCCTAATCCTCCCTTCCAGGTATGGTTTGACGTGGGTTTCCTGTTTTCGTACAGTGTTAAGATCATGGATCCCCGCTGACATTTTTAGCCCACTTTCACCTTGAAATCATATGTTATTAAACTAATCTAGGTGGCTTCCGTCATATTTGGGAATTATGATGTCTGCTTTCAGTCTCTGTTATGCTTGGTTGAGTTGGAGTTCACTATTTCATCAAGAAAAAAACTCTCACGTTCCATTGTGCTCAATGAGTTTCTTTTTGATTTGGTTTGAAACTGATATGTCATTTGTCAATTTCAGCCTTTGCGATGTTAATGGGAACAAGAAAAGCAAAATCCCTCAATTGCTTACCCCGGCTGTCTACAACTCTGCGTGGACTCTCTGGACCATCATTACTATTTCTTTTATGGCATTTTGGACATTTCGTATGACGCAGGCAACATCTGAGTTGGAGGCCAGTTGTCTTCACCTCATGAGACTGGTACAGCGAGGAGCCGATTCATGGGATGCTGATCCTTCTCAGCCAATGCCTATGAGAGCCATGTCTGCAGCCCAACTTTCTCTAGCTCGCGCTATCCAAAAGGCTGCTTCAGTTATTGATGGATGGGCTACCACTTGGGTCGTTTTGGCAGTCTCATTAGCAATTGTGAGAGCATTTCGTTCCTAGAAGAAATGATTTGATTTTTAGGCATTTCCGATTGGTTCCGGGCTTTGAGTACGAAAAGCTGAGACTTCTGCTGATCCACCTTCAAAGTTTTACCTCTTCACAGTTCAGCTGTTAATTCGCATGCTTAAGCAGGTTCTGCGTAAGCGACTTATAGACTCTATGGCTGTAGATGCACAATGGTCTTCACCAATATGGCAAGAACTGGAGCAGGAGTTCAGTAAGTTATTCCACTTACAATGGCAGATGTGACATTCGCCGACGGAAGTTGATCCGACCTATGCATTCCATGAATTATCGCAGGGTTCCTTTTCAAGTCTTCTATCCTTGTTACCCTAAGCATTCTCTCTCAAATCTCTGAATTGGCATTTCAGACGCACAGTGCAAGAAACCTCACCGAGTGAGTGGATTGAGTTCAACCATTTCTCTTTAGTGTTGAAGTGATGTGAATGCCTCCATTTTTGTTTCATAGTGTAAACTGGAGGATTGGTTCCGCCCTGATCACACAGCTTCCGGGAATCTTCATGACACCAGCGATTCTGGTACAATCGGTAAGAGAGTATTATTCATCCATTGAAAATTCGGGGCAACTCATAAATCTGACCAATACTGTGGAATGCTTCAATCAAAGTGGAGAATATTCACAGAGCGTTCGGAAGAATCCAATTTTCAAGAAGTTCCCATGGTATTTGATGATAAAAAGATTCCAGAAATGACTTCTCAGCTTTTGGGATGGGATACAACGGTTTGCTGGGGTAGGGAGATGGATTTGGATGTCGTCAACTTTCCTGGTCTTTGCGAGGTCCAATCAACATTTTCAAAGGAAAGAGAAGACGTAGATCAGAAAGAGAAGCGAGTAACCCTTGAAAGTCCTTCTGGTGATATAAGTGTTATGCGCTCAATTACAGTCACTCATGAAGAAATTTAATTATATCCACCTCATTACTCAGTCATCATAAGTCGTCATTGACCATGTCATCACTGACACTTTTTTTAGGTACTCCAAAGCTTCTTGTTTCGATTTCATTATTGTTTGTTTTTTGCACTCATTCTATCAACACCAAATCAACTTTTATCAGTATGCTTATGTGTAAAGGCCTTCTGTAAATCTCTCAATAACATTTACCCTAATCTGTTGGTGGATAGTTGTTTCAATTCGGTGACTAGTGATGATATGAAATCAGCCCATATTTTACCTTGTTTTAACTTTTGAGGCCATAAGAGCATTGCCACCGGCGATAGGTAAGAGTCGGAGCCCAATTAGTGGGGTTCAAGTCAAAAAAATTGAGCTAAGATTATAGGCAACTCGAGCCACCTTTTAAGTCTGCTTGGTGCTTAAAAAACACAATGACAGCGTGTACAAGTGCTTATATATAAGTAAAGTTGGTCTAAAGTAAAAAAAGAACAAGCTCTGAAACCTTCTGAAACAAAGGTACAAGAGGCTCACAAAGTGCATTATTTCTGCTGTTATGGATTCAACAAAAGAGAAAAAGAAACAGCCTCAATTGGGGCAGGCCTCTCAGCTTGTCAGTCTTTACCTGTGGGAGAAAAAGTCTGTGGCTGCCACCCATGGCATGCATATCACATTCCCACGTGCCCAATCAGGTCACACCCTGAGACAACATCCCAGAGTGGTCCTGTCTTGAAGACAAGTCTGATTTAAATTTTATAGAGGACATCACAATGTGTCATGGGTCTCTGATCAATCCATTATTTTTCAATTCACCCTCACCAAAACCCTCACATCACTCTCTTTGATCAAGTTAGCTACAGTCAAACCCGCGCACATGCATACCCGCGCACATGCATAACCAGCAAAAATGCATGAATTTTGGCTTCCACCCAGCTGGTGCGGGCAAATTTTGGTCTTAAATGCATAATTATGTCAAAAACCATAATGCATACTTTTTTTTAGATCCCTGAAGTCATAACGCATAGTTATAAACCACACTGGGAAGATTTTTTTCTCCACAAACTCAAACCAAACCTTCTTTGTTTACAATCTTTGCAATGTCAGCCAGCAATTCAACCTCTCTGGGGGTTGAACCACTCAAATTCAACACAGAAGATCCTATTCATGCCACTTGAATTGGAAATATAGTATTTCTTGCACCATCTGACCTCAAGCCCTCTCAATTCCCATCACATTTACAGTTTGAAGAACATGATTTACACCTACTCGAGAAAGGGCTTGAAAAGCTTAAAGAAGAAACTCAAACACGTGTTGATCAACTTAAATCCAATCAAGAGAATGGCCAAACTCTTGCTCATGAAGACCAAGACTGGCTTGATGACGGAGGAAATTTGATTACCAAGCAGCTTATAGTAGATATACTCTTATCTCTTGATGAAATCAAACCCTTAAAACTTAGTCTTTACGAGTTCAAAGCAGTACAATCCATAATCTTCTGTTATCAATCAAGTCTTTCTAAAATTGCCAAAATCAAGATGGATAAAAAAGAAGAAAGTAAACGAAAATCACCTAACAATTCTCTAGATGCCGGAAGTCGAAAGAAGGCTCGCTCTTCTCTATCCAAACCAATCGAGTCAAAAAGGACCAATCGGAAATCTGGAGCCACCAAACAGACTTTGACTTACAATCAACGTGTCGAGGTACTCAATTACTACCACAAAAAAAGTGGTGAAAGTCAATCTGCAACTGTCCGACACTTTGCCAAAGTGTGTCCAGAATTAGGAATCACACAGCCAAACATCAGTCGTTGGCTGAAAGAAGAGGCTTCGATTCGAGACACTGCTGATAGTGTTAGTAGTCAAACCAAACGCAAGTCCGAGCTCAAGTTCCCTCAAGTTGAAAAGCTTCTTGTTGATTACCTCCGTGAATGCGAAAAGAGAGGTCAACTTTTTACCAGCAAACAAATTAAAGAAAAATGGTTCCAATTTGCTCGACTTGAGAAGATCCCAAGCAAGGACTGGCTGACCTTGAGTGGTGGATGGTGTGACGCATTCAAAGCACGTCACAACCTTTGCGAGATCAAAAAACACGGCGAGGCTGCATCAGCCAGTCCAGAGGCAGTCGCGGCCGAAAGGAATCGAATGCTCAAGATCACTTCTGAGTACAAACAGGGTGATATCTATAACATGGATGAGACAGGTCTGTTTTACGCGTAAGTCTTCTGTTGCTTCTCCTCTTCCTCGCTTTTATCTGATTGCTTTATCATATGTTTTAGGATGCCCCCTGACCGTGGCTTAGCGAGTCAGAGTGCTCCAGGTGTGAAAGGAAACAAGGCCCGTATAACTGTTGTTTGTACTACAAACACCAATGGGTCGGACAGCCGTTTTCTGACCTTCATCGGCCGATGGAAATCCCCACGTTGCTTCAATAAGAAGACAGCATCCGAGCTTGGAATCGATTACTACAGCAACTCAACATCTTGGATGACCTCAACAATCTTTGAGCAGTGGATCACGAAATGGGATAGAGACCTACAAGCTGAAGGCCGAAGGATCTTACTCTTACTCGACAATTTTGCTGGTCATACAGTGCCACCAAATCTCATCACAAACATCAAGCTTGAGTTTTTTCGACCAAACCTCACAGCTCACGTTCAACCACTTGATGCTGGCATTATTCATGCCTTCAAATGTCATTATCGCAAAAGATTCCTCACTCGCTCACTTCGACGTCTTGACAGCAAAGATAGTGCAAGTAAAGTCTACGAAATCGATGTTCTCGCTGCGTGTCGCTTGGCAAAGCTCGCTTGGCATTCTGTCACCAAAACAACGATTCAAAACTGCTGGGGCCACTCGGGAATCATCAAATTGAAGGATGATGTTGTGTAAGTCCCTCTTTATACCCTCTTTAGCTCGCTGATCATGTTTCTGATATTCCTGGATACTCTTTTGCTTGTCCTCTTTATCATAATTGTAGCCTTCCAGTGTTTGATTCAGCCAACCCACCCGTTCCAGAAGGTTTAAACCTTGAGGAGGATTTGCAATCCCTTCAAGATTTGGGTTTACTCTCATCCAGGAGTCGGATGTCTTTATCTGAGCTTTTAAATCCTGAAGACGAAACATTATCATCTTTAAACGCTCCAACTGCTGAGGAGATTCATGAACAAGCTCATGTCTCTCAAGAAGAATCGGAAGATATTTTGATTGAAGCCGAACCAATTCCTACCACTGCTGAAGCCTTAAAATACCTAAATGGTCTCGTAGCTCACATCGAAGGGACCGCGACCCCTCTTGGTCTCAAAGTAGATCATCTTTTACAACAGTACAGTCATCAACTCAAGTCCGACCTGTTCTTTTCCTTTAACAAACAGTCATTGATTTCGGATTTTTTTCAAAAAGATCCCTGATCAAGTTACCTAAACGATCGGGTCATGTATGTACATACATTAAAATGGTCTTTAAATACAAAATATACAATTTCTTTCTCTTTACACAGAAAAAGCACACCTTGCCTTTTGTACCCACATGAGATTCAAACATGTTAATGCATGATTCTATACAATTTCGATGAAAACCCTTCATAATGCATATTTTCTATGCATTTAGCCTAAATGCATACAAGTATGCATTATGATGGTTTATGTCTATTTGCATAACCCGCGATAATGCATAGCTTAATTTGTCTCCCCAAATTATGCATTAGCGCGGGTTTGACTGTATCAAGTTTTGAACTTCAATTTGAACTTCAAGAATGTTGAAGTTACAAAACTTCTGTAGTCAGTTAGATCAGTTTTCTATTGCTTTCATACTGCAGATGAAGCTGATCTCTCTAGGCACTGTGGAATCTCATTAGTAATGTCTCCACCAAAGAAGCTGCCACTTCCCCTTGATGCCTTATCCGTAATCAGCACTGGCACTGGGAGCTAGAATGGTAACCAAATCTGTTAATTTACTTAGTCACCTCCTTGAAAAACCTCCACCCAATGACAGCGCTTGAAAAGGTGGTGGTTCACTGCCCGGAAAATCTCCTGATGTTGACTGAGTTCACATTGAAGCTCACAAACAACTTTTGGCTGATGTAGAACTTATAACCCAGCAAGTGTTATACAGAGTGTGAAGGTGACAATCTACCAATAAAAGACTAGTAGAAGATGTCTATGGACTGCCCTCCTAAAACAAGACAATCAGAAAGGGGAAACCTGTTGAATTGTGTCAGGGTGGCACTTACTAAAGGGTCTAGAACAGTAGTTTTGACTAGTAATCCTGACAAGGAATCCTATTGGGTACGTAGGATTTGAGAGTATCTGTTATCACTGTAATAGGATAACAGGTAAGCTAATGAGTTTTGATTTTTCACAACTAATAATAGAAGTGATTAGGGATCCACGGCCTATTGCTAGCTAGCAAAAGGTGAACTTGGTCAGGTTCTAGGCCGGGGTTTTTCTCTGAGATAAAGTTTTATCTCAAGTAGCCTGGGTTACTAGTACCGCAGGGATCTTGTCAACTACACGTTGCAAGAACAATGGTACTAGACCAGGTAGAGTTTTACTGTCTCAAAACAGGGACAATAAAGGGAAGAAAAAGGGTGTGTAGACTTACTCTAGTCAAGAGATAATCTAACGGACACTTCTCAGGGATTTTGCGATGATTCTTTCTTGGTAGCTGAACTAGATCCTTTTGTGGAAAGTTAATAGCTGGACTTGTGGTAAAAGATTCTCCAAAATCACTATCAGGTAAGAAGGTGCCTTCCTGTCTTCTTGGGAAGGACTCTTCTCTTTTATATCTGTTTGTCTTCTTGGCTGACCTGTGGTTTTTTAGGGTGATTAATGCTTCTACTTCCCAATTGGGATGCTTACCCGGTTGAATTGTGGTTTGGACAAATTGGGAACTATTGATGGCTCACTCGTGGTTCTGGATACCCTAAGCAACTCTCCCAGTATTGTTTTGTTGGGCGAAGTTGATGCTTCAAAGACTCGTTTTGAATCTCTAATCGTTAAAAGTCTTGACTCATCACTTTTGTGATTAAGGTAGAGTTGGTTTCTCCTTTCATTAGTTGTTTTTTTAAGGGACCAAGCCCGGTAGGTGTTATTTAGGGTTCTTGTATTCTAAGCAGTTACCTCTGATACTAGGTACACAGTGTCTTTTATTTGAGGGAGTCATTTTAGATAAAAATCATCACTTTATCATTTAATCATGGTTGTCTTTGAAACTAGACACAAGTTGTATTTTTCAGTAATGTAAGAATTTTATTTTATAAATATGTTTTTTTTATTTTATTTTCTATTGTAGCCT